ATATATATATATATATGTTACAAAAATAATAAGGCTAATGTCATGGATGAGAATATGAAATAATTTTTTTTAATTATCTTAAATGTATTTTATCTAACCATTATAAGTTTTTTAAATATAAATCATTCACATGCGTAACATATCATATATGTGTATAATAATTTTTACTACGCAATATTTGCCGATAATATTTTAAGAATTTACATGTATGTAGATACATGTATGTAGATAGAATCTGTTTGATGTTTGTAGTAGATAGAATTTGTTTGATGTTTCTATATCGATTCAATTTCACGTTTAAATATATCTGCCGATTGCTCTGACTCTATTACGAAAGCAACGGTAATTCGTACATCTGTAATGAAACGCAAATACGATATATTCAAGAACACAAATAGAAATCATGATAAACCATACTTAGATAAGAATTCAGCAGTGAAGATTACTTTACCGTTATAAAATTTTATTCTTTGAATAATATATATATATATACTTCACGCACATAATCGATTCTCATCGGCAGATTGATATTGAATGTTATGAATATATGACTTGTGGAATAAGTCCTAGAATAATTTTTTCACAAGTTTTTCGTTCACAATTTGTATTGCAATTTTTATTATTTAATGTATCAAATTATCACATTTGCTGATATTACTCTAATTGCAATTGATTAATAATATGTGAATTAATTGTTATATAGATTTAGTAATATATATTAAGTTCTATAATTGGGTGTGTAATTTATTATTTATTAGAATTAATATTTCTAAAATTATATAATTAGTAATATATTCAGTAATATACACAGTAATTATATTCAACCTTGACACTCAAAAATATTTCAAAAGTATATTGATCGCTATAAATAAGATAAAAAGTATTTTTGTTAAAAAATTGACGTTCATGTTATTCGCAGTTCTGAATATTATTACCGCGCATTGTAAAATATCGAAGATTTTAAGCTGAGTTCCTACCATATTTTAAGTCACGAAAATATACTGAGACAAAGAATGTGGAAAAACCAGTTGAAAGAGGCTAAAAGAACATAAAAGATATCACGATAACAAATAACAAACTTACCTTTACCAAGACGAAGACTTAATTTATGAATCTAGTAGAATCACCTTTCTTCACGCACCAATCGCAGTTCTTATTCAAAATTTAAAACTTTTACAAAAGTCGGTCACTCTATTTGAGAAAATTATGTCGATTGATCTCTTCATCGCGCAAAACGCTGTCTTTATTCGGAGAACAGAACTACCCTCGGCCGACAGCTGTCCGGAAGTGGCCGCTTCGACGAGCAGACTGATTCTTAACGCGCCTTCCGTACTCGAAGAAACACGGCTCGAGGGACAAGCCTCCTTTCCTCGTGTCGCATTAAGAAACAACCGTTAACGCGGGATACGCGAGTCTTCGAAGCGACCGTGGTATATAACGCCGTGTGAGAGTCGACCAACGATTGATGACCAAGCGACGGTGCTGTATGTGGAACCCTTCCCCAACCAGAAGAGAAGAGAAACGAAAAGAAAAAAACGAAGATGGTCTTGCGACAAATTGTGCGTGTCGACGTCGTAACATCTTATCTCGAGACATAGTAAACGCTCCTGCCGAGACTGGTAAGTGAAAGTCTCGCTGAAATTATTTTCCTACAGCATATTAACATCAAAGTGAACAATCCTCAACGATCGATATATAACCGATGACTATATTTACGAATACCCATCATTTACAAAACATTCAATGTTTCAATTTATGAACTATTTCGATGCTCCCTTGAAAAATAGATTAATTTTACTTGTATCTAAATTAATTATAATTTATTTAGATTTATACGTTAAGAAATTTATAATTATACAGAGTTATGTAATTATTACCTAAATTCAATCTAATGAAAAAAATAATAATTGCGGTTTCTAAAAGTGCCCTTCATTTTAGACAATTGTATTGTAATTACTTCTATCAAAACTGATTGTAATAATATTTCCACAGTTAGCACAATTTGGTTTCTATTATAAAAGCAGAAGCAAAGCATTGGTCGCTTAATTGTTGTTTATTTGTATAGACAATTAAACGATACATATACATGTGTGTACGAATTACATGTGTCTTCCTTAATTCTAATACATCGATATAATGTTTATATGTTCGGGTGAATGATCATATTAGGCGATTACATACAGGCGATATATTTTTTTGGGTCGATATGGATTAGCG